TGTGTGTGTGTGTGTGTGTGTGTGTGTGCGCACGCGCGTGCGTGCGTGCGTCACGACACTGTGGAATCAGGTGCTCGTCAATTTTTGTGCATATTATGGAATCATTGGTATCATCGAAAAGCTGATTTATTTGCCTTGCTTCCAATGAAATAAATATCCATCTATCTTGGATAGAACAAAGATGTTTGCGATTGAAGGATGTGAGATCCTTGGTTTCAGTGGTGATATTAGTCCCCCCCAAAATGTCCAAGTTATTGCCCTTTACATTGCCTTCTTTCAGACACTTGGTAACTAACACACTAGAAACAACCAACTGGTGAATGGAACAAACAAGTGCCCCCCCCCCCATCCCACCTTACAGCAAAACACGATACACAACTATAGAAAACACTACCCCATCTCCCTACCGCCACTCACCATAAACAGCCAACTGGTGTACAGACAAACGAGGTTATATCTAATACTAGAGATGTCACACGCGTCATACATGGGGCCATTTTACCCTCATTGGCATGGCCAGCGTGCCGCTATTCACATAAGTAATCTGAGCTTTCACCCTGCCCGCATATTTCAGTGCAAGCTTGTGGATTTCCTCTTTAGACCGCCGAGACACCTCTACGTGAGTCTCGAAAAGTACTCACCCGTCTGTTGAACTGCGAATGTCTTGTACTTGATGTTAAGTGTCGCAGAGTGGGCACATGCAGCCCTTGTTTGCTTACACGGGGGACATCACTGCCACGAACTCTTGTACTAAACTACAAACTAGGTTGCCCCCCCCCCTTCCTCCTTACAGCCATTCACGACAAACAAACAACTGGTCGCTACCTCAGAATTACACAGTTCTATCTGCTCCGTACCTAGATTTGAACATTTTGAGTTACAGATTGTGAGTTTCACATCGTGTCAAGCTTTTCCGAATGCAAATCTTTGAATATTTTGATAACGACCCCGAATGATCTTTCGATTGAGATAATGCAGATAGAACATGTGATTTCTGCCGTCATAGTCTTAGTAACTCAAAACAGCCAAAACGGTCAGATAGAACTTTGTAACTCTGAGGTAACGTGGTGAGGAAAACAAACTAAGTCATCTCTCCTACATTCACTCATGATAAACAACCCCCTTGACCCCTACAGCATCATTGTCATTGCCTTTCTCACCCTGCACCAGGGTATAGGCTACGAACAAACACACGGTAAACAACCAACTGGTGCATAGGACAAATTAGGTTGCCCCC